ACTTCTAAGTTTATTTAACAGTAATATCTTTGCAATGAACATTTTAAAGATATGTCTAATGTGTATCTATTTGTGAATGACTTTTTAACCATAATTTTTTTAAGAACTGTGATAGTCTATCATCTATTCTTATTTTGGTTTGTTTGTTTGTTTGAAATTAAACACAAAACTACACAATGGGCTATCTGTGCATTGCCCACCACGACAGGTATCGAAACCTGGTTTCTAGCGTTGTAAGTCCGCAGACATACCGCTGTGCCACTGGGGGGGGGGGCAACCTGAAGAAGAACATACGAGAATAATAAAGAGTAAACAAATTTAGAACATGCATAACGCATTCATTACTTCATGTTATATTTATACAATATAATTTACACTTTACAAAATATTTTGAAAAAAAAAAAAAATTCATAATATAGTATAGGAAATAGATGAAGTTCATGGGTATTTCATAAAGAAGGAAATCACTCTGAGTATCATCATATCTTGTCTGTCACATGGTAACCAATAGCGGGAACTATACAAATACGTCTTTGGCGTTTAAAAATAAAAGAAAATGCAGTATAATTGTATAATGAGAAATTTTTATTCAGAACACGAGGCGATAGTGAATTGAATTTAAACGTAAGCCTACTTTATTCGCTTTTACGCTAGGATTTCTCATTGGGTTCATATTGGTGTATAACTATTTTCGGTCCCTTGACAGAATAAGGTGTTAAAATATTTGGAGACTTGATAATTAATGGTGCTGTTGCAAGCAAGACTGAGATTTATTTTTAACCTGCCACTTAGCTCCCATATGGTCTCATTTATATAAAATGTTTGACATCTAATGACAACATATGATATATTCTGAGATATAAGTGAATTGATACTTTACAGGAAACGAGTATTTAAGACCAAAAATGTCATGGGATCGTGAGCACACACTGACTGTTCACTTTATTAGCACACCCCTCCTAATATTGAAATGGTCTGCCTTTTTTTCTAGATAATAACACAAACTCAGCTTATTATAGAAACCTCACTGTTTTGTTTTTTAATTTTTGTATCGTAGCCTATTCGTAGAGGAGTATGATTTCTAATTGATTCACAGAAGTTTACGGTGACCAATGTTACGCTCATGCTCATCAAATAATTGATCAATCGGATTAAGATGACCAGAAAACAAAAACAAATTTTTGTGATGTCTTCAACAAGTTGGAGAAAAACGAATGGTAGAAAGTTTTAGCCCTCTAAGTTAAAGTCAAACATTCGAAGATTCTGTTACGTTTAGACTCCTAATAATGAAACAAAAAAAATATATAATTTTCTGTTTTAATATTGTAAGAAATGTTTTTTGTTTATTTGAAGGCACGAGATAATGTTAATAGATTATCGGATTCATTACTTATAGCTTGTGACAGATTTTTCTTTTAGTGCTAATCAATGTCTTGTCTACAGTGCAGTCTGACATATTGCCTATACGATAACTTTTGGCGTGTATTAAAAATCTACTGGAGATATTATCCTGAAATATGTTTTTAAACTGACGTTTTAGAAACCAGCAGTTCTCGTAAGCTATAAGGCTTGATAAAATATTCTTATTGAATTATAAGCTCATTAACAAAATCTAACCTGCTTAACAAGAGCTTAATAATCGAATGTTACTCAAATGTGACAAAAGGGACTTTTTAAAAGCTAGAAATATAATTCCAAATTTGCATATTATAGATTTCGCACTAAAAAACACAAGTAAAAAAACTTATGTCATGCTTTAAATTCTATTTTGCGCGCTATTTGTCATATGTTAAAAAAAATGTCAATAGGTTCTAAATTACTCGATCAATAGAGGGCGCGAAAGTACAGTCGACCAAAATCCTCTGTAATTCAAGAAAGTAAAGTTGACTCTTGAAAACGTTTGTTGTAAGATATTTGCTTTCTTTGCTTAAATTATAGTTCACAAATCCAGGAACTCAATGATACCTTTAGTTCAAATATGAATCCTTTTATCATAAATAATACAGTTATTTATTTTATTTTCTAAAAAAACATATTGTAAAAAAAAAACGTTTTGATGTTACGAACAGTTTACAAACGTGGAATTATAATGATTTAAACTTTGATGTTGGATCGTTATACACCGTTCATATGATTTTAAAAGAAGTAATTAAACTATGCATTTCTTTATACTTTCATTATCGCAAGGGACTAACCAAATATGATTTCATTAAACTTAACGAATGTTTCGACAACACTTACATTTAAGTTTGAATAATACCATACCATTTGCGTGTAGAAAGTTCTGCAGCTCAACGATATCCATTGACTTTAGTTTTGCTATGTATATGTTTTGAAAGGTAGGCCCTCCTACTTTAAGGATGACATCACAATTTACCCACGAAAAAGAAGATGAATCTTTTGAAATCTCTTGTTACTGGTTATCTCGTTTTGTAACTTATATCCTGTTAATCCATAATAATTTTTTAATATTTTTAGCTTATTGGTTTTCTTTAGCCTTTGGTTAAAGAAGAGAAACTGAAATAAAACTTGCATCACGTGTTTCGGCAGACATGTTTCGTTTTGACTTAGAACTACATGTTCGACTGTATAGTTATTTTGTTTGTTAGATGGATATATTTCTTAAAGAACAGTGGTTAAATATTGTTTCACTCACTGTGTCGGAGGCAAAGTAAGGTCTGCAGTTGATTATTTATCTGAGCGTATAGAGACAAGCATCTAATTCAAGTGAGAAATTCAGGGGACAGTTTTGACATTTCAAGAGCCAATGAGACACCGAACCGAATTGTGTTAATTTGGAAATTGTGTGTAATTCTAACGGTTTAAACTTATTACAAGCTAGAAAGAAAGATTTAAAAACTTGAATCTAATTAATGTCAGATTTTGAGCCTTATTAATATTGTCAAGTTAATACTTTAATCATTTGAATTATCCTGCAATGATATTTCGCATCACTTTACTTTTTCTAGGGTCTTAGATCATGTTTGTTCACAAAATAAATATTTGGCACAATAGATCATGTTTGGTCACAAAATAAATATTTGGCAAAATAGATCATGTTTGGTCACTAAATAAATATTTGGCACAATATATCACGTTTGGTCAATATAAAATTATTTGGCAAAATAGATCACGTTTGGTCACTAAATAAATATTTGGCACAATAGATCATGTTTGGTCACTAAATAAATAGTTGGCACAAAAGATCATGTTTAGTCACTGAATAAATAGTTGGCACAATAGATCATGTTTGGTTACTAAATAAATAGTTGGCACAATAGATCATGTTTGGTTACTAAATAAATAGTTGG